TGGAGTATAGGAGTTAAACTTTTATTGGAATATGAATTCCCACAAGCAGTAGTAGGGATAATGTTAGATATCCAGTAAAGAAATACAGATGGATCTAGTCTGGGGAGACTGAGTTCTAGTAACATTTGGGAAAGGGAACTACAACTGAAAAGACAAATATTTAGTGCAGCCACTGCCAAATCTACCCAGTGTCAGGCCAGTTAATTTTATCATCTTAGATATTTGGCTGTGAGAGCCAGACCTGTAAATCAAAGTATTTCCAGCAGCAGTACAGCTTTGCACTGACCGTTTTCACCTGTACATGAAATGTCTCTTAGATGCATATTCAGTGTGTGCTACTGGTAAGAGAATAGTTTTCTTCCGGCTTTCTGGTGACTTTGGTGGAGGACTCCTTGCTGCATTGGCACTTTGTTTTAAAATCCAATTCTATAGAATGCTAAAGTACACATTCAAACATGTGCATATAATCTTTATGACAAAGCACATGCTTTACAAGGCACATTGCACGGATGGGGTGTGTTACCTGCTGGTGGGGAGCTGGTGATGGCTGCCCAAGCAGGGCAGCAGAGCTGGTCTGAGGATAGCACACTTGGTGGGATTCAGTCTGGGTCCCAGTGCTGGTGGTGGCAGTGGTAGCTGTAAAGTACTGTTCTGGTGAATTACAGTAAACTATGAAGCACTTTGGACTTGATATTTGTGTTTGTCAGCAATTTTATCAAGTTATTCTGTTATTTAGGAGCCGTTTTCCCTAATTCCCAAATAGGATAAGTCAGCCTGACAGGTCCAAGCAGGAGGAATGCAGAGCATGCTGAAAAGAAACAAATCTCACAAGATGCTAACTTGAGCGTTGACACCTCCTGGAATCAGGCTGTTTACTTGCAGAGCTGAAACAGGTCATCACCAAGTCGTATGCGATATATGTGATGTTATGTGTCATGGCTAAAGCATGGGTGGGAAGGAGATGGTTTTTGGCTGACTACCTTCTGGCAGATTCACAGAGTGAATAAATTCAGAAAAGGTTATGAGAAACCAGTAGTTTCTTCCTTTTCATGATCAAGAAGCCCAGCAAAGGGGGTGTGGGAGGAGGGAGGAGTGGGAACAGTTGTAGAAGCTGAACTCGTGCCTTGGATTAGTGTCTGCTGAAGTACCAGAGAGTCAAGGAGAGATGCGTGGTACTTGGGAAAAGCGAATTGATGCAAGCTTTGTAGGACAGATCATCTCCATGTAAGCAGTACAGCTATGTACCAACCTCAAATCTCTGGTGCCCTGGTAAACAAAAGTTGCCTGGTTGCTGTGTTAGCAGACTGAAACTGCTCCCTCAAGGGAGCCCTGTGCTGCCAAGGCTTCCTGGGTGTTATTGAGGAGAAACCTAGGAAATGTAGTGAAACTTGAAAACGATAAATAAATGAGTAAATGTTGGGCAAGGGGTTACTGAGAAAGGTGCAGGGGTTGGCGCTGTGCCTTTGTCATGCTGCTTACTTGTTTAGCATCAGCAACACTTAATCACAACGCTCCGAGGCTTGTTAGTCTTTTAAAAGGCTTGAGCTAAACAAGTTACTTTTGCACTAGTCACAGACCACACCGGGGGCTCACGTAGACTTCGTACACAGAAAGGTTCTTGTTTTGTAGCCTTTGCTTGTTCCTCTGCAATGATATAGCATGAGCCTGAGGGTTCTGAAGTAATCAGAGGACTACTGAGGACTTAAAATATTTGAAGTTTTCTAACTGCAAAATTTGGTCTGAAATTTATTATATCAGGATGTCAGAAATCACACAAAACCCGTGCATTTTCAAGGAAACAAATCTGCCTTGGCAATTAGTTCTGGATAGAGAAGTGAGGAAGGGAATTTGTTACTTATTCCACTTTAGCATTCCATTTTGTGCCAGCTCATGTGCATGTGCTGATTGGTTTTCTGTGGATAGCATAAAGCTATAGCTTTTTAGGCAGTTGCTGAGGGAGCATGTGAAGTGTTCTAAGGTTAGATGGGACAGCTGATGTCCTGCTTGTGTGAGCAGGAAGCATGCATGAGGAGAGCATAGGTACCATAGGTTGCAGGATATTTCTGCTAAAATAATCATCAGTGGAATGGTTAAAATTGAGAGTTTACAATATATCATCATCTTCAAGGTTTTAAGTTTCTGGAATGGAAAGCTAGGGCCGTATGTGTTCTTCTCTAGGGGCCTCTCTTCACGGAGGAAATGGTAGGTAATTTCTGTATGTAAAGAAAATTCTCTCTCCCTTCACAGTGGATTCAAGCATTTTGCTATCTGTCTAACCCAGTGAAAGCTAGACAGAGTTAAAAATATCACATAAACATCTGAGCTTTAGTTTCAATAAGTTAAAAAGTTCTAAGTCATATCCGAATATAGATATAGAAAACCTGATGTCACTTGGGTGGACTTGAAAATGTTACCTTGTCTTTCCAAATAACATTGACAAGAAAATCCTGTCCAAGAGCTGGAGCATGGGGATTTTGCCTGCTATGTACATGGATGCTGCTCCTCGCTTATTTGGGTTGGTCACACCGACAAGCTGTAGAAGATCTGGTTTGAAATTGCTGCGGGGTTGGTTTTTTTTCCTCTCCTTTTGTTCTCTAGTGTAGACTTAAAATGTTCTCTGCGTCTTGAAAATCGTATTGAACATCAGGAACTTCTTGCTGAGCACACCTGTGGGGGGATTGTTGTTATTGTGGGGTTTTTGGTTGAGTTTTTTGCCTCTCAGGAGTTAAAGTTGGATGTCACGTGGTCTTTGTTTTGAAGAACACTGCAAGATTGGCATATGGTCAGCAAGAAATGCTTTGTGTGTTTTTAAGTCTTCGTTCTGGGTCTTCTGAATTAAACCAATGCTAAATGCTGAAATAGCAAAAGAAGTTGGGAAGCAAACAGGATCTAGCTGATGTTGAATGCCGGGCTCTTTGTTTTCCAGATTATCTTAATTGTTTGATCTTCCAGGTATCCTGTCTTTTGTGACTCTTAGGTTTGGGAATTGTTGCAACTGCCTTTCAGCATTCCATCCCACTGTTAGGACTAATGTTGACACTGGTCCAGCCAGCTCTCTGTCTCTGAAATGCTCAGAACAGACGTTATCTTCACTTGAGCACTCCCCACAAGTTGTTGTAGTTTTCACAATCCCATATTTCCTTTTGTTTCAGGATGTGCTTTATAATACATCTGAGATGTGTCTGCGTTCTGTTCCTCTCTGCTATTATAACTGGTTAGCTTTTATTTTAAGGAAAGTCATGGCTAATTTGTGGAATGACAGGCAGTTTACACATGATTGTACTGGCTCTTCTGATTTCAGCAATGTGAGGACTGGACAGTTGTGTCTGATGATTTTCCTGTTTGGTTTGTGGTAAGCAAAGCTGCAACATAGAGCTCATGAAAAAAATTCAAATTCTTAGAAATTGTAAGTTTAATACTCCATGTGCATTAAAACAGTTGACAAGAGAAACAAATTTATTGGAAAAACTTGAATGAATTTTTCTTAATTATTTCTTAAAATGAAAAGTTGAATCAAAGCATCTTACCTGACTAAAATCCAGCATTTTGTGGTCATAGAAAAAAGATTAAATGAATTATGGGCTTTTTTCCTAAAAACATAATGAAAGCCAAGAGCTTTGCACATCACTGTTTAAAAGTTGACAAAATTGGACTTTGGGATTTAGTTTTCTTGGGGCTGCTCTGTGGTGTGGCTCCTTCTGCCTTAGTTATTCTGATCTCTGCCCTTGGAAATTGCTCAGATGTAGTAGTTCCTTGTCCTGTCACTACTGCCAGACCTTATCAGTCCTGTTAGCTAGCTGCTTATCACTGAATTCAGGAGAAGTTTGCTCTGTTGCCTACTAGCTGCCAAATATTATTCACAAGTGTTTTCTGTTGCAGAGTGGACATGAAACACCTGCATGAAACCCCCATGGCAGGGGGGTTGGAACTAGAGGATCTTAAGGTCCTTTCCAACCCTAACTGTTCTAATGTCAGACTGGTGACTAAACCCCTTTGGACCTGTTGCAGGAGGCAACACGCAGGCTGTTCCTTCAGTCCTCAGTAAAAGTGGGTGTTTCCAAAAGCTGATGTCGATTTCTTTGTGGCCTGCATCCACACGTAGTAACCCAGCTGATGGGACTGCAAAGGGAACCTCATTTTCAGGGGTTGCTCTGGATCTCTCTGAAGCTCATCTCTTACCATGTTATGCCCTACGCTGTGTTTAAAAATTATTATGTATTAAGCAACGAAGATCCTAGGTCGGCATGCTTTTAAAAAGTACAAGCAGACTGGTTCTTAAGTAGCATGGCAATTACCATGCCAGTTGTACACGAGGGCTCAAAATCGCAGCCTCCAAGTTTGAGGGCACCTTGTCCATTGTTAATACTCCTGAGGAGGCTGCAGTGGCTATCTGCTGTGATTCACTGGTACAACCAGTGTCTGTGAACTCTCCGAGGACATTCTTGGCAGCTGCAGGACATAATTACCACATTTGAGAATATCTTTTAGGCATTTGGATGTATGGCTGGCTTTTTAGATTGCTCCCCTGCTAACTAATACGTTACTGGTTTGACACAATTGACAGCTGGCTGTGCTGGTGGCTAAAGAACTGCCTCTGGGGCTGTCTCAGAATGAGGTTAATGATGGCCTAGATGAGTTCCCTGCGTTTCCTATACATCATTTACCTGGAATTGTGCTCTCTGCTAGGCTCTTCGGTGATGACAAGGGATCTGACCAAGTGGCCATATGTACTAAATGCTGCAGCTATTCCACTGGGCCAAATTTGGGCTTATTTACTGTGGTTTGTTTTTGGTTTTTGGCTGTTTTTTTTTTTTTTTAAGTATCAAAAAAATCTCTGCTCTGAAATGCACTGTTTTAATAAAGGGAATGACTGTCGAACATCCATTTTGAACTGGACTCATAGTTGTTAACTGAGCATCCCTTATCACTCTCACGTTGTTACGATCCACAAAGGAGTGTTTGTACATCGCTGTGCTGTTGATTTTCTTACTTCCTCCCTACAGGACTTCTGAAGACCATGACTAATGATGAATTGTGAAGCTTCCATGTAGATCCCCCGTCTGTAAGTGCCTCACACATGGAACTTTAATAGCTATTTTTCTTGTGAAACTTCACTTGTGGTCAGCTGTGCAAGGTGAAAGCAATCATAATATTGATGTGCAGGGCTGGTCTCAAACAGAGCCACAGGAAAATCATTGTTATATTTGGGAAGGGCAGCACTAAAGGGATTTTTTTTTCCTTCCCCTTAAAGCTTTTCCTTCTTTCTGAGATGGATGAAATAGTTAAGTCATTTAGAAAACAAATTCCCATCCTCCCTGATTTAAGATCTATTCCTGCAGTATGTATGCCGTGGGGGAGATGCTGTAGCGGTTTTATGAGGAGATAAAATATTGGCTTAATGATAATTTGGCAAAGTTTCAAGATATCTGAGGGGACTTCCTGGAAATTAAAAACAACTCAGATGTAAGAGAAAATTAAGCTGGTGACCCCGAGTACAAAAGGGGAAGAGCTCAGACATCCATTCTTCCTTGCTCCTTGCTTTAGTCTCTCTCTCTGTCTCTTTTCTTTTTTCCAATCCCATCTTGCTAATCACCTCCCCTTGGCCCCAGCTGCTCTCATTACAAGGTGGAAGACTAGTTTAAGGTAAATTTGCTATTGCTATAGCTGCACATGTATAATTTTCCAGGGATTTTAGTTTTTGAGGGTGGCCAATCTTAACATGAAACTTTCCAAACATGTCTGTGATTGGGCTCATTGAGGCCAAACTCCCTTTCTGCTTGCAGTCTGAGGGCTGAGGAGGGATGCTTGGCTCTTCGGGGAAATTAAATTGTTCTCTATGCTTAAACCATTTGTACCATTTTTCTACAGGAAGATGTGTAAATATCTGGAGACATGTGCAGGATGCTCTAGAGACTATTTTAGTCTTTTGCAGCTGCCTGTATGACTACATCTGAGCAGACTTCCCCATACTACTACCTCTTAAAATCCTGGGCTGATCCTTCTGCCTTCCTCAGATGATGCCCTTGTTTTTGTGATCTGTATGGTATACAGAAATACAGCATCAGGCCCACTAGACCTCTTGTAGCTTGAGGAGTAATTCCTCCTTACCTACTGAGCTTTTGACCTGATTGCTGGGAAGAGTGGAAGGTGTCTTAATTACAGACAAGTTTCTTTGTTATTTCAGGAGGTTTTGATGTTTGAACATGTGGAGCCAGACACATCAACATTTCCTTTGATCACTACATGTTAGTCCAACAGTGGCAACATATGATTCCTGCACAGCAAACATACCATGAGAACTGGTTGTGCAGAGGCTGCACATCCCATTTTAATCCCTGCATGATTTAGCCTTTCAGAAAATTGCCACTTTTTAAACTTCCATTAACACCTCCTTTATTTTCTTTTCCCCATATTTCTGGGAAAGTCTGGTTTGGAATGGAGCATATGAAAGAAAAGACTGTGAAAGCTGGGAAAGCAAGGGAAGGGACATCAGAAAGTGGAAATCAGAGTAGCATTTGGTGGTGGTGTTGAAATGTGTGTATGGGAAAAGCTTCCAACCTTTATAGCTATAGATCACTGTGGGTGTAATGGATGCCTGTGCCAGCTGGCAACCTGAAACAGTAGCTGCAAGGCCAGGTTGGATGGGGCTTGAACAACCTGGTCTAGTGGAAGGTGTCCCTGCCCATGGCAGGGGGTTGAAACTGGATGACCCTTAAGTCCCTTCTGACACAAACCATTTTATGGTTCTATGATGTGTTTTAACTCTGAAATCCACTGTTGGACGGTCAAGTCATTTGCTGAGGTATGGAGAGGGCTCATGGACCATGCTGAGCTTAGAATGGTTTTAATTTTGTCTTGGGAAAGGCAACTGGTCCTAAGAAAAGCTCTGGAAATGCTGGTCCCTGCAGGTCAGAGCCATGTTGCTGTAATACATCAGCCTGGGGTCTGCTGCCATCATCTGTAAGTGCTGCAGATGTCAGCAGTTCAAGTGCTGATGGAGTCTAGCTTTTTAGAGCCATCATTCACAGCCTTGACCCTGGTCCCTGATAAAAGTCAGCATTGGCTTTCAGGTTTCTTTCATTTATTTATTTATTTTATTTTCATGCTAACCCATTAAAAGCAGAGGTCCAAGCCTTGCACTCTGACCTGTTGTTACTTGCCATTCCCATTCCTAGCCTCTTATCTCATGTTGTGCCTGTCATCTGGCGTGCTCCAGAACCTCTTTTGGAAACTGCTGTAATTACCTCACAGAGCCCGTGGAGTTCATTTCTTGTCAAAGCTGAAGTTGTGAAATGTTTTTCTTCTTTTTAGATGCAAAGTAGAGACATCGATGTTTGAAACTGCTCTTCAGTCCTCCCCTTCTTCATTCTTCTTTCTTTGCCTTGGACACTTCCTCTTGTGGTGTGCCTTTCAAAACAGATAATTCCATTTTCAGCTGCATGCTCAGGGTATGCCTGCTACTCTGGTTTGAAGAACCAGTCACTGGGAAGAAGCTTAGAGATGTTGCCTGTTGCTTTGACCCTATGGCAAGATGCTTCTGAGTAGGATGCTCTGCATACACCATCTGTGTATGCTTCAAGACTCTTTGAGCTGTTTCTGGAGAGCAATGGTAGGATGCTAGTGAAAATTTTTGTTCTAAGCCCGTGAAAATGTAAAGGAAGAACCAGGAATTCTAGACTTGGGCAAGAAAGTCAAGATTTAATGGTGCATCACTGCACATATCCAAGTATTAGCTTTGTGCTTGCTAGCCACTGGGAGAGAGGTCAAGGACTAGATGTATCTACACTTTTCCACTCAGTTGTTGGCATCAAGAAGATCCATGCAGAGAATTTCCCCTACTAACTGCCCCTTTACTGTAGTTGGTTTAGGGAGAAATCGAGGTGGTGAGTCAGGTACTGAGACGAGCCACCTAACTTGGATTTTCTCATGTAGAATCATAGAATAGTTAGGGTTGTAAAGAACCTTAAGATCATCTAGTTCCAACCCCCCTGCCATGGGCAGGGCCTTACCGCAAGCCTGTCTCTGGGACTTTAACATCTCTGTAAAGGTTTGGGAGCTTTTTCTGCCTTTAAAATAAGCCTGGTCAGCCTCAAAAGAGACTTTAGTCTAGGTTCTGTCTTTGCATTGTCATGTTTGCAATTAATTAAAGAAGGGGTGAACTGAGGAAGGGGAGGAAACTCTAAAGACATGAGTGCAATTTCCAAGACTGATTGGCTGCCTGTTTGTCTGGGAACTGGCAAAGTCTATGAAATATTGGATAATCTCTAAAAATGTGTGTCAGCTACTTAACAGGATCTTGCTTGTGGGATTCAAGTAATTAGGATGTAAGTAATTAGTAATTAAGGAATTAAATATTGTGAGATTTCAAAAACTCTTTGGAGAGGCTGAATTAATGTTTCTCTGTGTATTTAGTTTGCTCCTGTTTTACAGCATGTAGGTCAAATATTACATGTGCCTCTTTAGACATGAACTTGGGGTGGGGGCAAAGGGCTTGTCCTGGGTGTGCTGAACATATATCAGTACTGGGTGGTGAAATCTGTGTGGTCGTTTCATGTGATGTGCTTCCCCTTGCTACACCCAGTCTTTTTAAGCCTGTTCTCTCCTGTATTGGCAAGGGCAAAGCACGTGTGGATCCCTTTCCTGCCCTTCACCTTATATCGCTAAAGGACAAAAGACTCAACTTCCTCAACGTGAGGAATCCAGTTGAGGTGTCGGGGGAACCTCACATGCCTGGCAGCTTCTGAAAACTTGACTTTGTGTTTGCATTGTTCACTCCGAGTTGTGGGTGTCCAGGGAGCTGCTGTACTCATCCTGCTATGGATGTGAGAAGGCTGACCTGGAAAGATGAACAGAACATCCTTTCATCCTGAGAGGAACATTACAGACCTGAGCATCACCTCCTGAAGCTATTTAATTAAAAGGGGAAGGCATATGACTGGATTGGGTCGTTAATTGCAGCACTGTAGAAATTCAAGGTAGCTGTCAGGGGTTTCATCAGAGAGCTGAGGACAGGGAAAAAAAAAGCTAGAAGAAGGAGGTAGTCTTTTTCTCACTAGACTCCCTATGAATTATATTCTTGACAGGAATGTGTATTGCAGATAGAGGCAGTATAGTTTTGTATCCAAAAAATGACACCAGGGACTTAAGATTTCAAAGAGTTTGGACGTTTATCTGTTGTAAATGTAATTGTATCTAGAAGTAAATAAGACTCTGCAATTTATAGGCACTTTAATCTTGCACTATTTATGGACATAGAATTGCTTAGAATAATGCTGCCTTATTTTATACTGATGGCATTGTATTTTTAACACTGTAGTAAGGGTTATTTCAGCTGTGAAGCTTTATCAGAGCCTGCATGTTTCTAGAGGGTTATAAACTGGCTCGAGATGTCTCTGAAGCAACATGAACTCTCGAGCTTGGAGGAGCGTAGTTAAAAATTTAAGATCCCATCAGTGTACCAAATATTTATGCTTATGGGTAAATATAGAGGACTCTTCCCAAAAGGAGGTGGGTGTGCTTATATGAATGTTCTGAACAGAGAGTTAAAATTAACAGCAGTTTATCTGACCATGCTGTTTGTTAGTGAGGAGAGGGAGTGTGCACACAGAACTGAACAGAAATACTTGTATGTTCAGAGAAAGTTACCACAGATAGACAAACCCCCCTTTTTCTTGCGGCCACTGGTCCATACACAGCACTGTTCTGTCTTGCAGGGCAAGGTGGATGTGGAATTGCCCATCTGGACAAATTCCTGGCAAGCTGTGAGGCTGCAGGAGAGCACCTGAAGGTGTAATATTTTAGTGGAAAGGATGGTTGCAATTTCTAGCACAGAAACAGGCCAGTAGAAGCTGTGTTAACACAAGACAGAGTGTACCTCCTTTCTAATTCTAATATGCTCGCTTTAATCAGCAGTGGCTTGACGTCTCCTGCTGAATAACACTGACAGAAGAGACTTGCAGAATCAGGGCCCAAGTTTCTTAGCTATTGTACCCTGGGACAAAAGGGACAAGTCAGGTCGCTTTAAAGTAAACAGGGGGGTTGGCAAGGGAGGTGAAATGGCGAAAATGTTTTGGATCTTCATCAACCCACAGAAATATCTCAGCTTGTGAGTCAGCAATAGAGATGTTTGTACCTAACTTTAGCCCTCTCATCCTTCCTGATGGGCTGGCACAACTGCATTTGGATGTACTACGGAGGCTTCTCTAAAATGTGTGGTTTGTACAAGTCCCTCAGATTTTTCTACCTACTTTCTCCTATTGCTGCCTCTGATGCCCTTAAAAAATAACCTTCCCAAACCAGCCATATATCTGTGTATATATATGTGTGTGTATATATATATATATATATAAAATATAAATATAAATACCAGCCCTCTGTCTGCAAAGACAATGTTCACACTCTGGTTTGCTGGTGCCTAGGCAGGTCAATTTATAATTGCCTGTAAGTGTCCTGCAAACAGGAGCGTTGTTCATCTGCTGCTCAGTGTCATTTGGAGATTCTTTTGAAGCATCGTAGAAAATCAAATAAATGACTTCAAATTTGATCCTTACTGGAAGAATGTCCATTGATCAGTGTAAGCGAGGAGCCAGCACATCCCTATCAGCAAGTAATAGCCTCTGGGAGGTAATTTTGAACCAAATAGGTGAACAAACCCTGTAAATGGTGATCAGTAAACAACCAAATTCCACTGTGCTTGAATGTCAACAAGGATACCATCAATTCTCCTGCTGTTCATTTCTACCATCTCTATTATTCTGCGTTGCGCTGTCCTTGCCTGAGATGGTGGTAGTTCATTGTGTCAGATATTGTTGCTTTTCAGTGAAAGTAAATAGATTTTTGATTTAGGATGATTTTTGTTTAGCGATGGAAGGGAGTGTTTTATTTTCTCCTTCCCATTAGTTACAGTTTGTTAAGATATTTGCATTTGAACAAGAACTTTCCCCTCTCTCTTCACCTCCTCCTGCCTGTTTGGGCAACGAGGTTGCATCCTTCTCATTTGAAATAGCTTTAAAATAAGAAAAAAGGCTTAAAGGCTAATAATCCCCCAAATTACAATTATGAGTATTTATCAAAGTTAAAACACAGTGTCATGCTGCATTGGATACAAAAGCATCCAGCTGAATATTCTATTAGACAGGTCCTGTGAAGTTAAAAAGAGGACCAGGCTGAGTTATCTCACCACGGGAGGAAAAAGGCATGCACAATCAGATATTTAACACTCCTTTGCAATTATGGGAATTTTTATTCTCTCCCTAGTAGGGAACATAGCATTTTACTGCAGTGTTTCAAGTTTGCCTCCAATGGTATCTGATAGAAGTGCTTTTATCCCCTGAAGATACAGTACAAAATACAAATCATCATTGGTTTTATCTCAGCTGGAGCTGCCTATTTTCTAAATGAGTTTACTCTGTGCTACTGCCCATCAGGCACATTTTTCATCCTTCATCCCCACTCTTTTACTATAGCTGGGTTTAAGTCCTTTCTTCTGTCCTTTGTTCCTTCAGCTCAGCGAAGTAAACAGCAGGATTGATCTTACACTGCATTTTGGTATTGTTCCAACTGCTCATCAATAGACATGGGCTGGGAATGCACTGACTGGAAAAGAAGGGCAAGATTGAAATTCACTTTTTGTTCTTTGTGCCTTTTAGTGTGCAGCGGAATGTCCCTAATCTGAAAGCTGCTACACTGACTGCCTATCAACATGCAAATTAATCATCAAGTGACAAGCCCCATATTCACTCTAAGTTAAAGTCTTGAAAGGTATCTGGAAAAAAAAAAGAAGTGGGGGAGAAGGTAAAAAGCCCTTTTAATGTTTTTACTTGTTTTCTTTTATTGTTTGTTAATGCAGTTGCTGGTAGCTGTTATGGGGAACAAACATCACTGGCTTTGCATTGTACCCATGTTCAGTGGTGAGCCTAATGCTTTGAAAGCGCCTAGGTGAGAGGGGAACCTTTTGGTATCCTTGTAAGCAAGACTTAGACTAAAGATTAACTGCAGTTAGCAGCAAAACGAAGGAGGCACTGTAAGCAACAGCAACATCATGACTGCAGATTATTTGTACCTGCTTTCCTGAGCAAAGGCATTAGAAATAAACTTACAGATGCCGAATGGGATCATTTCTCATATTTTTGAGCACACAGTGTTTCCACTTGTAACTTTTCCCTGGGGTCTTGAAGGATTATAATTGAATTTGGGCCTGTAGCAAGAATATACAGTGCTACTCTGTTTTAATATCCATTGACTTTTATATGGCAGTTTGATAAAATGTTTGAATGCAGGAAAAATGTATGTATTCTTTATGGAAGACTAAACAACTAGCAGAGGGTAACAGAGCTGCAGAAGAGCGGGCTTGCATGTATGGGAGCTTTTCTGGTGTGCTGATCTGGCTGTTGAAGAGCAGTATTTCAGATCAGGTTCCACTTTCCATCACTGGTGAACTCAGATGCCTGTAAATACATTGTACAAGAAATGGCACCAATCTGTGTACCTAATGAAGTACCTTAATTTGTTATCATAGTATTGACTTAATTTAGTCTTCCTGTTCTTACTAGCTCTGCAGGGCTTATTCTTCATCATTGCCCATGTGATGAGAGACCCTACCACAGAGCTGTATGTATTCTGAAATATTTAAGACTTTATTTATTTATCTGCCTTGCCCACTGTATGATCTGAATAACTACCTGCATCTTAGAAATAGAAAGGAGGAAGAAATAAGAAAGGATTGCATCCTGGTCTCACACCAGAGACCTACCCACATCCAAAGGTGCTCATAATTTTTGTGTTAGCTTTACATTTCTTTCAGCCATCTTGTTTTGCACCCAGGGGTAAAGTATCCTTTGCTATGTAGATAGGGTTGTAATTTTCATTCTTTCTTGGAGGCAAGAATGCTTCCTCCTTGTCTACCTCTGGAGGAATCTTTCAGAAAAGGGTAAAAAAAGAGAGAGAAAAGCAGAGTGTTTTATGCTGAGCTCAACCTCGGCTGTGAAGTACATGTACAGACCAAAGCCCCCTCAGTTTGGATGCTCTGCTTTGCACTGGGTGTCTGGGGTCATGGGGAGTCCCAGTAGAGAGAGGAAGGAGCAGTGTGGTGTGAGATGGATATAGGAGCCAGGGTGAGGAATTGAGGTCCCAGCCTGGACACTGGTGTGAATGAAGTTCTGTGCCTGTCTCTGCAAATAATCTGTTAATAGCTGGGGCTCTGCCTGCAGGCTCTGAGCTCACCTTTGGTTTCCCATTGTTGCTGGGCTTGCTGTAACCTTGCTGTAATTGGGCCGGGCAGTGGTCGGTGCAGGATAGATTTACACATGGGCAGCAGGAGAAGTGATACTGCCACTATTCTCATAACTCACCTGCTCTTGGCAGCCAATTCAAAGCCAGCTGGGAGGCTGTCTGCAGATGCTGGTGCTCTGCTGCTCAGCTCACTGCAGAGGCATCCTGAGGAGAGGATATCTGAGCATACCAAGGAGAGTCTCCCTGCATCTTTTGGGCCAAAAGCATTAATGCCTTTTGAGAATAAAGAAGAAATTTCTTCTTAAGACAAGAATAAGGGCTCCTGAAGCGTTCCCCTTGGAACAAATCCTAGTGTTTTAATTCAGAAAGCAGTAGCATGTTATGCTTTTGTTCATTTTAGGGCTTTTTCATTTTTGTCTGAAGTGAAGGGGAGCAGCCAACTTTCTCTGACCTACCACTGGCGACAACCAGCAAAGTTTGCACAGTGTCTGTTATAACCGGGTAGTGGCTCCATCCTCACTGTCACAGTGCTGTCCTTTGGCTGGGCTGCAGCTAAGCTGGGATCCCAGGCTTCTTGCCAGCTGTAAGCAGGCACATGGTCCATGGTCCAGTTACATGAACTCACACTGGAGGAGGTTGCCTTGTTCAAGGCTGGGTTGGATGGGGCTTTGAGCAACCTGGTCTAGTGGAAGGTGTCCCTACCCGTGGCAGGGGGTTATAATTAGATGATCCTTAAGGTCCCTTCCAATCCGTACCATTCTGTGATTCTAACTCTTGTCCAGACGTTGGCTGTGTATGCAACATGTGGGCACAGAAGTCCCGGTACACCACAATTCACAAACAGCACACCACTGTGCTGCCCAGGGAGGCTGAAACCAAGTAAAACTTTTCTCACCTGAAGGACGCTTTGTATGCAAGATACGAGGATTTTGACTCTCAGCATGGAAGGGCACGGGGTTTGTTTGCAAACAGCCATCCCAGTTAATATCTGTACAGACACAAACACAGGCATGTGCTGATTTTCATCTTGGAGGGGTGATGGTGGTGATGCAGGGGAGGCTCTTATTGTAGCAGCACATCTGTAAACAGCTGATATGGTGGTAGGAGTGTGTAAACAGTAGCGCAACCACAGTCCAACAACTCCTTGTTGGAGTCAAACACTGCTTATAGGAATACTTATGGTTTGAAATGAACCTTAGCCAAGGCTCTGACTGGTGCTTCCCAGTGAGGGCAGTTGTCACAGGGAAATTGTCTTCTCCTTTTGAGAGAAAGCTTATTGAACCAGGTTGTCAGGATAACAGAGTGCTGACTGCTGACATTTCCATTAAAATTAGTGAGGTGTCCTTCCTTGCTTCCTGCTTTTGCTGCTGGCCTCGTATTTGTGCACTGTCTTCATCATGAGCACCATAGGGATAGGCAAATCAGTGCTGTGTATCAAGAAGGATGTCACATAAAGCCAGAAACCTTGTTAGGTCGTTGCCTCTGTGCTGCTTTGCTTTCCTTTAAGCATTTACTGGGCTAGGAGAGAGGCTGGAATTGCTAAACACATCCCCAGATAAAACAGTGCTGGAAGAAATTAGCAGTAACTTTACTGTCTAGTGCTCTGATGTTTAAATGGAACAGTGGAGCTAGATGGCTTCTAGTACCTGGCCTCAGTGCACTGCCTCTAAGCCTGCCTGGATCTACAATTTCTGAAGCAACTACAGACATTTTTCACTTACTTGTGCGTGGTCCCTGTTCTGTGACCTCTGCATTTTGTGCATGCAAGTGGCATGAAGCTTCTTGGCTTCTCTCTGAGGTGCATTAACCCAGGAGAGCTCTCAGTATTGATCACTGCCGTCTATCCCTGAGGTCGTGTGGATGAAAACTGGTTGAAGAGGGCACTATGGGTCTGCAAGCAGGGGCAAAGCCCTGGCTCTGTGGCAGTAGGTGATACCCAGGACATCAAGCTTACCTTGTGAAAAGTCTTCTCCTCCTTAGTATGACTTCATGAGTGTGGCAATGCTACTTTTATGCAGCAAATAGTGACTACGAGTATCTCTCTTCATGTTCCCTTCTCCCTGTGGTCCATTATATGCTGAAGTAGAACCACTTACACAGATGTGTGCATGCATATGCATACATGTACATACACTTGTAGGAATGAGTGTGTTTCCTGGCCTGGATAAGAGCTGAACTCATGCATGTTTGTATACAGGTCCTGTGATTTCTCTATTACAATTCCACAGGTAGACAGGAGCTTTCTTTCCTCTTATCTACAAGTGCTGCCCATCCTTTCCCAAGGGAGTTCAGTGGTGCTGGTTAGGGTGTAGCACCTCTGGATACAGGGTCAAGGAGGGAATCTTCCCCTATTGCTGGCCGGCTCAAGCTGGTCACATGCTGATTCAATAAGCTTTGATGTTCACCTTGATTAACTTCAGAGGTCAGTAACTTGGGGCTGTGAAGTTGCCTGGGGTGTCATGTGCTATTCTTCTACCTCATAGAAAACTTCATTTGACAGTTGGAGCGTTTCACTGATAACAGTACAACTGTCCCCAGTTAAACAGGGTGCTTTTACAAGAGAAGGGATTTTAAAAGCAATGTAGCAGTTTTTTCTTTGGATTTTAGGACGTGCCCACTCCTCAGGCGCGGTGTTCATGGCAGAGGTGGTATGTGAATGTCATGTTTCAGGAGGTGGGGTGCTAATGGATCCAACTGGTCTTTGAGAGATGTGTTGGAAGACCTTTCAGCAAGTGAAGATGATAACCCTGCTTAGACAGTGCAGGCAGGCAAGCCTGGTGTCTGAGGTTAGGTGTAATTGGGGGTTTTCCAACAGAACAGTGCGTCAGGTCAACCAGCCTGCTGACATCAGAAACATTGCTGCAGAGATGCAGATTCTGATGACCTTCCAAAGCTACGAGGGCTTTGAGGCCTCCTCAGTTGTCCTGCCTGGTTCCCAGCTTGGTCTTATGCCAGGGCCATTTGCAGAGCCCAGGGTGTTTGCTGAGCTGCCCTGGCAGCTTGGGCATCAGGCACGCAGTCTCTGGTTTTAACTGATGTTTTAAAAATGTGAGGGCTTTCTCTGTCCCTTTCTTTCTGTTTTTGTTTGTTTGTTTCTTAAATAAACTTTGTTCAGATCATGAGAAGCACTGGGAGAAATCTGTATCTTGTCCAGAAGTGGCAGCAAAATTGCTCCGACTGTTGGTGTGTCCCTAAGGAGTAGGAGCTCATGACTTAGGAAGAAAAATGCCATTGCCTCATTCTTAAACAGGCTTCGTCCTCTCACCCAAGAACTGTCCTAAGCGGTTTGTATGGCAGACAGATGGTCTGATAGTGCTTCTTAGTACTACTGTTGCTGGTCCCTGTGAAGAAGATGCCACCATTGTTCATGGGACTGTGGATGGTTTTTTCCTGACCCAGTTGTTCATTGCTTGCTTGGTTTTTGTTTCAGATGAAATTAGGGACAAAGTTTTCTCTCTAGCATCCATGTAAGAAGAAGTAGACTGATATTATTCAACATGAACTCAACCAAGCTCCAGTGTCTACTGCTTCCTTATTAGAGGTGGGGTGAGGGAATCCTACAGCTCAGCGTAAGTTAAAGCTGAAGGAATCTAGACAGAGCTCCTCTGACTGGTCTCTTCTGTATTAGTATAAAAACTCTGGTTATGTTTGACTTCTGCTCATGGAAGTTACTCCTGGAGAAGGCACAGATAGGCTTAACTCTGTCAGATATCATCTACTTAAAGGTCACTGTCTTTTGCAGCCTCTT